GGATGATCTAAGAATGGAAATAGAACAAGATGACATGCAACGGGATTGGATGCTTATGGAGCTCCTTAGGAGATGTGCTGAAGAGATGATTGGGCTCGACAAAGATGAGATAAAAGAAGGAGAAAAATACAAGGATCCTGAATCTGCCACTAAGCAAAAGACTACTCCGAAACCTCTGAACAGTGTCAGGATCAAGACCCCCTTTCTGGAAGAAATCAGAGAGCGAATTTGGCGCACACCAGAAAAGATCAAGAACTACAGAGAACTCAGGATGCGTGGCATCAATCACCTCAAAGGAAGAAACAGAGGAGGAAACTTGTACATGTTAGGACACAAATCCATGGGAGAACGACGACAGATTTTGAATCATAACCTTGCAACAAGCGGATGTCCAGTACAAACAATCCTGAAAGTAACAGAAGAATACTTGGAGAAGATCAAATTCATGGTCTTTCATCTACAAAGAACTGATGGATCAACATTCACCTGTCAAGAAAATGATTTCTTTCTGCTAGATATGGACGACGTCTATCAAATGTTTATGAGATGCAGAGAGCTACCAGTCCATAAAGATAGACTTGCAAAGGAAGGTTTTGAAGCCATAAAAGGTTCATGATGAGACAAATTCGATATCATGGAGGTCATGATCTTCAGATGGGTCTAGAAAGGAATTATCCCAAAGTGAATCTTACAAAGCCAGACCTTGACAGACCAGGGATAGAAGACTTCCCAGAAGATCATATCTTTGACAATCCAGTCTCAGTCATCTATCTGAACCATGAAGGAAAGAAGCGCCTTTTGTTTGTCAAGGAAATAAACAAATATTGCGACGGAACACTAAAGATCATCAGAAATAGGCTGAAGTAAAAAAGGGAAGAACTTGTCAAGAAGTCAACAGAAGCTACAAAGGATGAACTCAAGGAGCTGGAAAGAACAGAAGATATCCTAAAGGCCATCAAGACACAACTTGAAAACAGAAACTCAGTCAGGAGCTATGAGCATGCACTTAATCTCAGAAAGAATTATTACAAAGCTCAGAAGTGAAAATACCCAGCAAGACGGCACTTGACCACAAAGGGGGAGATTGTTAGAACTTTTATTGTGGGTTAAGTTTGTCTGTAATGTCTTGTTTAATAAAGTAGACTAGTTATACCATTTATGGTATTAGATTATTAATCATTATGTAATAAATAAGTTAAAGGGAATAAGGCCCAAAAAGGCCTTGGCCCAAACCTCAAGGTTTACCTAAATCGGTAACCTGTACAGCGCCTATAAATATGCGCCTTGTGTACAGGTACCGATATCGATCAATACATTCTCTAGCCTTACGCTGTCCAAATAGTTCTCGATAAACTAGAAGAAGAATTTCTCTGTTCTCAATATTGCCTTATCATTATCAGATCTTCTTTTCTTCTATTTAATCGGTGAATACCATCTAGTTGATCGTTAGTCTGCATATACTGGGACCAACACGACCCGACCCAATAGTGCATTGCATTTGGGCGGGAACACTGTTCATTTTTTCTTTTGGCTTTGTATAATAAAAGATGTTGACAACTAGTATTCCACCCGTGCACCGCACGGGATGTAATTTTTCAATTGCTTTATTGCATGAGAATATGTTTAAAAACATCCCGGATGGGCTCAATCAACCTGGAAATTGATAACTTGGACCAAAAATTGATTCAATTTGTTATAAATTCGGAAATGGGCAAAACATATTGGAAAAGCAAAGGGAAACTCGATCCAGTTCTAGAGTGGAAAAATCCGGTTTTAGATGTCGTTTCAAAATTTTTGTAACTTCTTAAGTATTTTTAATCGAATAGAATTTGAATTCATCATCATCATTACCCCAGTGGCGTAAAAGTTCCCACTTACGTGGGGTAAGACAAATCGAACAGAATTTCAATTCCAATACAAAATTATGTGATACATTCGTAAATTTATATTATCAATTGTATTGTAAATTTACAAAGATTTTGTAAGATTAAAGTTATATTTTGGAATATTGTGATGGTTTTTCAATTCTTATTGAGCATTATCACTTTTTATTATTATGAAGAATAGATATGTTTTTATTTTAAATATATATAATTTTTTTGTTATTATTATACTCTCTTCGTCCCATTCATATCAAAGTATATAAATTTAGAACACCACTTCTAAATTAACAAAACTTTTAAGGATAGAAGTCGTTCCACCAAGGCAGAACGAAATTAACAAAAAAATCATCACTGTCTTTTAGAATCAGCATTGCCGCATTTGCTTCAAACATCTAAACAAAATCACGTGAAAAGTATACAATGCCAAAAATTTTGTACAACTCTTCATCTCTACATTAGTCATGTTTTTATAGCATTTACAAAAAGGGTTCATTGGATCCAAAGCACCAGGGATAGTATTCACCAACGCTATCCGTGAACGATTTCCTCACAAACATTGAGGGTTCTATCAAACATATGATAATGTAAACACCCCTCCCTATAAATATTTCCATTCTAGAGTGCATGTCCCCCCCCCCACTCCCCACTCCTTCAAACACCATTTTCAAATCCGTCCACCTTCCTTTAAATATTGATGAGCTTAATTACGAATCATTTGATCGAAATGCCACACTCCATTTCCTTTCCCAACCATTCTTAATTGGGCAACATAATCAGAAACTTTCTTGATAGCTTCAACCTGCTCCTCCATCAACTCTTTCTAGACTAACCGGACAACTGCAACACCGACAGAGGCAGTGATAATGATGGATGTTGTGGCGGCGGGCGACGGGCGGCAGTGACTGATGACGGTGGCTGTAGCTTATGTATGTCTTGGGTGGTGCTGGCGGCGACTTGTGGCTTGCGGTTAGGGTGGGCGTGAGGGAACTGGTGTACACACGATCCGTTAGTTTATTGTTGTATTTCTATTTTTAATAAATAAAACAGAGTATTCATTAAGGGTATTTTAGTCAACTCATTCCTTTTTAATCCTACGGAACTATACGGATTATTGAACTCCTAGTTTTGCACTTTTGTTAAGATTTAGTCCTAGTTAGAGAATTATCTCAAATTTTTGCATTCTTGAAATGCCGCACTGTGTGGTAATGTTGATGTGTACAATTGGAATATATAAATATTCCTTTTGCGACATTTAAATTTATCAGTTGTTTTGTCATTAAGACAAGACTGTAATGACTTTTCGACACCATCATTGCACTTTTACACGCCCTTTGGGAGAAACTTTTCAGTTTCTTGTGCGGGTAATTCCTGGCCTGCCACGTGTCAGCAAATCGGTTATTTTTTAGAGAAGTATAAAGACGGAAACCTTCGTCTCTTCCCTTGTGCTTTCTTGCTTTCAAACTTGCAGAGCTTTCCATCAACCACAGAGCTTCTAAGTTCATTCTGACCAGAGAGTTCTTCGTCCTCGTCGTTCAGTTCTCTCTTCAGGTCATACCTCATATTCCTTTCTTCGTGACTTAACTGTTACTTGTTCGTCGGAAAACCCAGAAGGAACGTTTTTTCCGTCGTTCTGGTTTTTTGGGTGTTGGTGTCACGCCCCGGACCTACCGGACACGTCAACAACCCGCCGTACAGTACGAATAGTCAACCGCAGTCCAACTCATCCATACTATACTAGGCGTCTTGAATACCATTCACATAGTACATCCATAAACAAACATAGTGTAAAATATTCATTTAAAGCAGCGGAAACATTAATACAAGTGTTCAAGCCACGCTTGGCAAACTTGGACATACAAGCCCCCAAATAATTATTCAGAAATTAATATCCATGAGCATTTAATGTAATTGTTTTTAAAACAGATACGGAGGAAGCAAGAACCACGTCTTCTCTCCTTGGATCTTCCCGAAGCAACGGGCGATAGTAGCAACCTTCAAGTTCTACCTGAAACAGTGAGGTGGCCACCCCCGTGAAGGGGAGGTCAGTACTTTGAAGCATTTGAAAAGTACAATGACAACTATACTAAGTATAATCAATGTTTCAATTCATAAGACCCTCAAATAGTGTGTTATTATATTATAGGCCGTAGCCCTTAGTCACTCTATTTAAAATATACTTACTTTATATACAAAGTCAAGCATTCCAGCCCAGCTGGTTGTGAAGTTACCGTGCCTAGCGAGAGGTCTCGAGTTCGAAACTCGCTAGGCACATGCATAAGGGTTTGAAACTCAATGGAATGAGTTTCAGCCCTAATTACTCCAGGCTCCCCCCAACCCCTCTCCCCCAGACCCCCCCGGAGTAAAAAAAAAGAAGAAGAAGAAAGAAAAAAATATACAAAGTCAAGTAGTCGGCCCGTAGGCCCATGTTCACTTGAAAACGTTTCCTCTAGTTCCCGTGACAATTTGTCACGGCACTTCTAGTATTCAATGCATTATAATTGCATAGCAATGGCTCGGCCCAACTACACTTCTATGCAATCCTTTATCTCGAAATTCAACACATTATAATTGCATAGCAAGGGCTCGACCCAACTACATTTCTATGTAATCCTTTAACTCAAAATTTAATACATTATAATTGCATAGCAAGGGCTCGGCCCAAATACATTTCTATGCAATACTAATTACATGGCAAGGGCTTGGCCCAACTACGTTTCCATATAAATCTTAATCACACGGCAAGGGCTCGGCCCAACTAAATTTACATGTAAATCTTAATCACATGGCAAGGGCTCGGCCCAACTAACTTTCCATGTAAATCTTAGTCACATGGCAAGGGCTCGGCCCAACTACATTTCCATGTTATCCTAATCACATGGCAAGGGCTCGACCCAACTACATTTCCATGTTATCCTAGAGCCCGACTGTTAGTACCCAATTTTGATAGATTTTGATGATGCCACTATACTTAGCACCTGTACATTGTGTCATATTCAATTTAAGTATTAGCGCTCAAATTAATTCATAGTGTGACAAATAAATGTACAATTCTTGTGACTAGTAAATTATACTAGAAATTAAAAATGCAATAAGATATTTTTATCTTAATAGGATATTGAAATCCTAGGCAGCCGTCTCCCACTTCGCGTTCACAGGGAGCTCTTACGCCTTCTCCCACTTCATCAGGTTGAAAAATGGCTGTCCCATTGCTTGACAAAAAGATCGTGAAGAAGCGTGTCAAGAAGTTCAAGAGGCCACAATGTGACAGATACATTTCTATCAAAGAAAACTGGAGGAGGCCCAAGGGTATCGATTCTCGTGTGCGTAGAAAATTCAAGGGATGCACTCTCATGCCAAACATCGGTTATGGTTCTGAAAAGAAGACCCGCCATTATCTGCCTAATGGTTTTAAAAAGTTTGTTGTGCATAATGCCAAGGAGTTGGAACTTTTGATGATGCACAACAGGACTTACTGTGCAGAGATTGCACACAATGTGTCTACCAAGAAAAGGAAGGAAATAGTCGAACGTACAGCACAGCTTGATGTCGTTGTCACCAACAAGTTGGCTAGGCTTTGCAGCCAGGAAGATGAGTGATCAACTTCTATGTAGTGTTTTCAGAGATGTGTTTCCTCAACCTAGTATTATATTTATGTTTTTGTGCTTTGCTTGCACCTTAACCGTATGTCAAATTTTTGTTGCATTTCTTTAATATATTATAGACTTCACATAAAAAAAAGGATATTGAAATCCTACCAGTATAAATTTATTTGCACACAAAGATTAAACTGTCACAAAAATGAGGTTACTCACGCACAAAAATCATATACATTGAATGTATATGATTGGAGACAAAATTTGACCAACATTAAATACTCAAACAGGTACACGGACCTACAGCATGGGACGCACCCTTGAAGTGAACTCCCAGCGGCCATTTATTGAAGACAGCCGCATTAAAAGCTCCAGCACAAGAAGACAAGTGTATAACTTATCCTTGCCAGAATTTCAACGCCAGAGATTAAATCATCTCAACCAACGGGTGAGATTAATCCAAAGGAGAAGCCTATAAATATAGGCTGAAGCGAAAGTTTCAGAGAAGCTTGAAGATCCTAAGTAGAGAAATACTTCCATCAAAGCATATACGAGCTATCTAGCAAAAGAGAAAGTGCAAACTCAACTTTACTCTCTGCTTAGACTCATGCTTCACTAAGCTCTCAGATTAGATCAACACTTTCATACTTTTAGAGCTTAGTTCATAGTTGGAGGTTAGAACTTTCTTGTAACATTTCACAAGTGGTTATAAACACTTAGGAGAACAGTTGTTCAGATCCTAAAGTGTAGTTAGATAGATAGAGTACCTTTTGATCCCCACTGGATCATCTGAGAAAAGTCTAAGGACTGAGTAACTTTGAGTGGTGTCATACTCATTGTGAAAAACCTTCAATTTAGGCCTAAGTGTTGTAAAGGCTAGATTGACACTAAGTGTATTGGGCTTAATACTTTAGTGGAAATCCATCTGAAAGAGGGTGAGACTGGACGTAGGAGGATTACACCACCTCTGAACCAGGATATACCGTGTGTTGATTTACATTCATTCAACAAAGCACACACCCAACACTTCTCACCAAAAGATTGGAGTTTGCCAGCAGCATCCTAAGCAGTAGTCTTAATTGACCCTACTGCTTATCCTACTGTTTAATTACTTACCTTCTTTGAGACAAGTTTTTCACAGAAACCTTGTAACATCACTACTACAAGTGCACCTTGTCAGATTTTTGTTTCACATATTTTAAGCGTAGCAGTTGCCTCAGCAGTCCCCTGGTGACTACCCAACTGTTGAGCCCACTGCTCATATAGAAGTACGTCTTTGAACATCTTAACTTATCCAGTTCTGCACAACAATATCACAAAGGCGTCTGTTTAACCAAATCTCAAAAACTTAAGCTGTAACACTTGAGATTTAATATAAATGGATTAATAGTACTACTCATACCAACAAGATGCATCTCATTTTAAGGGAGCTCATCCGCTAAGAACTCCAAAGTTAAGCGTGCTTGCACGGGAGTAGTCTTGGGATGGGTGACCCCCTGGGAAGTTTCTCAGGGCGCGCACGAGTGAGGACAAAGTGCGCGTAAAAGGCTAGTGGCGGTTTGTGAGGACAGTACTATTGGTCCGGAGTAACTACCTCGGGTCTGGCGGGGCCGGGGTGTTACATAAGCTGTAACCCAGTAAGCACCTTAACAATTTCCTCACTATCACCCAACTGCTGAGACCACTGCTCCATTAAAACTCCCAGCTACTTGTACTAAAGCACATCTTCAAATATCCCTCATCACCCTGAACTATATTATATAATCAGCCTTCACATATCCTCAGTTTCACTTAAGCAGGTACCTCAGTAGTTCCCTGGTTGCTACCCAACTGCTCAGACCTCTGCTCAGGCAAAACCCCTTATCATCCCTAGCTCAGCACATATTTAGTAAGCCCTCATCATCCTGTACAAGGCCACATAATCATCTCTACCAAACTTCTATTTTCCACTAGCAGTTGCCTCAACAGTTCCCTACCATCCAGGCAACTGTCAAGCCAACTGCTCACTGTCTAAAGTCCAAACATCATTCAAGTTAGAAAGGTGTCACGCATTAATCATCAAGAGGTTAAAGACTTCCGATGTGCATCTATTAATCTCCCAAAAGATAATAGATCAACTCATCTAGAAGGGAAAGTTTTTAAAGTTACAAAAGCTTTAAAAGTCTATTCACCCCCCTCTAGACTTTTACCTCTATCCGGGACCATCAAGAGGTATCAGAGCCGAGTGTTCCTATAGTCAGTTTCTGGCTAATTTGAACTAAAGATCCAAAACCACTCTGCTTCCCAACACACTTTCTAAATATGGACAGTCAGTTAGCAAAGAATCTCTTGTTCAACTTGAACAAATTTGATGACTGGAAGATAAGGATGAAGGCACATCTTAGTGCCCTACACGATGAAATGCTTGAAGTGATTACAGCTGGACCTATTTAAATCATGAAGGTCAGCACATCTAAAACTGACGATCAAGAAGATGTGTACATTCCAAAACCTAAACTGGAATGGACAACTGAGGACCAAAAGAGAAACAATCTTGACAACATTGCCAAGGACATTCTTTTCAAATCTGTTGATGAATCCATATTTCCCAGAATCAGGAAATGTGAAACTGCCAAGGATGTTTGGGATGAGCTCACAAAGATTGGAGCAGGAGATGAACAGGAGAAGGATAATAAACTGATCATAGCCCTCAAGAAATTTGAGGACTTCAAGATGCTGTCAACTGAATCTATCCATGAGATGGAATCCCGATTCCTGAAGATTGTGGCAGAGGTCTCTGACCTGGGGAAAGAATTATCTCAAAAAGAGATTTCCCTCAAGGTCTTTAGAGGCATGCCCTCAAAATGGGACATGAAGATGACTGCTATGAGAGATAGCAGAGATCTCAGAACTCTATCAACTGATAAGCTCTTCAGTGATATCAAAGCCTATGAATTTGAGATGAAGGAAATCAAAGAAGAAAAGGAAGATGAATCCAAGACACTAGCTCTAGTGTCTGAGCCAAGCACGTCAAAAAGTACTGAGAAATCCCTCAACAATCTCCTCACTGACGAGCAGTTTGCTATGTTTGTGAGGAAGTTTAAAAGATTCATGAGAAAGGAGGGAACTGCCCCAAAGAAGTCGTACAACCAGCCACCCAGGAGACAAGGGAGACCTCAATCAAGTGAGGACACTGTTCTATGCTATAACTGTAGACAACCAGGACATTATAAGAATGAGTGTCTTTTACCACTGGCTCAAAAATATCAAGGGCAGCAGGGAACTGCTCAAAAAGGTGGATACAAAAAGGACTTCAAAGGCAAGAGACAAGCCTTTGTAAGTGAAAAGAGGAAGGAGGAATCCCAAAGTGATGATGAGAGCAGCTCAAGTGATGAAAGCTCCTCATCTGAAAACTCAGAAGAAGCACTACTATGCCTAGGATCATGGTAGATGGCTGAAGAAAGCAGCAGATGGCTCAGTGAAGATGATGAAAGCTGCTCCCCCGAATGCTTAATGGCCAAAGACCACTACAATGACGTTGAGGTAACATCCTACTCTTCCTATAGCTCTAGTGATTCTGGACCAACCAACGTCACACTAGAATCTTTACTACAAGATTTCCAAAAAGTCCAAGATCACCATGTCCTCTTGAGATCAGAAAATGATAGATTAAAACAAGACATTAAGGCCATTCATGCTAAGTTGTTAGATGCCTTAACCAAAAACAATGTCTTAGAGGAAGAGAACAAAGAGCTGAAAAACAAAATGACTAACTTCAGCATGGATAGTAAAACAACTAACTGTACTCCTGAAGTTACTCAAAATAGGAAGAGAAGAGGTCTTGACTATGTATCTCCCACCAGACTCATTCAAAACTCACCCTCCACAAGGCACCAACAAAATACAAGAAAGCTAATCTACCAAAAATCAGGTTCTCAAAATGTTCCCACAAGAAGGAACCTGCCTGCTCCCAAATCAAAATCCAAATTCGTGTATAAACAAAAACTTCCCAACCATCAAAACCCAAGAACCCGTTGGCAACCAACCAATAAGACCAACCACAGCCAAAACACTAAGCAGTCTCCTCCAAAAACCAATAATCCATTTCCCACTTCAAGAAGGAAAAGGAATAACAAATACACAGCCATCCCCCATGATTATAACACTTCAAATAGCTATAAACCAATCTGCTTAGAACTAAATGGTTCTAGATGGGCGTGGATGCCCGAACTTGTACAAAGGAAGTTGCCCACTAACTTGTGGGCTACTGCTCAACAATGATGAATACAGAAAGGTGCTGCAGCAGTTGACTCACAGACATGGTACATAGATTCAGGCTGCTCCAGGCACATGACAGGCAGTAGGCGGCTCCTGTCAAACTATATGGCAAGAGAAGGACCCAAAGTGACATTTGGGAATGTGGAAAAACAAGGAGAAACCAAAGGAGCTGGAGACCTATCCATCAATGGACTTACAATCCAAAACATATCTTATGTTAAAAGATTAAAGTTCAATCTCATAAGCACAAGCCAGCTTTGTGACAATGGCTATAATGTAACATTCTCCAAAGACATCTGCTTAATTAGAGATGTCAAAAATGACAAAATTGTGCTCTCTGGAAGAAGAAAGAAGGACATGTATGTTGTTGATTGGAACTCAGCCAAGGAAGGGATCTGCTTGGTAACAAAGGCAGATTCAAATCTAAGTTGGGAATGGCATAACAAACTCAGCCATCTCAACTTTAAAACCATCAACAAACTTTCCAGAAGAGGATTGGTGAAAGGACTTCCAAAAATCAATTTCAAGAAGGACCATCTCTGTGATGCTTACCAGTAAGGAAAACAAACCAAGATATCATTCAAATCCAAAGAAGTAGAATCATCAACTAGACCTCTGAGCCTACTACACCTTGACTTGTTTGGACCAGTTGAACCAACAAGTTTAAGTGGAAGAAGGTA